GAAGGCTTCGCTCAGAGACGGCGAAGACGGGCAGAGGCTTCCCTTCCCTCACACACACACACGGCGCAAGATGGCCGGGGAGGCAGCAGCTCGCCGCCCGTGCTCCTCCGCCGGAGCTTCGCCCTCTCCTCTCCTCGCCCGCCGCCCCTCGGGGGAACCTGAGGCGGACGCCGGCTCGGGGGGCTCCGGCCGGGCCCAGGGTGGGTCTCTTGTCCTCCTCAGGAGAGAGAAAAAAAGAACGCGGGGAGGAGGAGGAAAGAAAGACAGACGCGCCGGGGCTGGCCGGGCTCCTTCCCCGCCGCCCCGCGCCCTTCCCGGGCGGCCGAGCTCGGCTCCGCCCGGCTCTCGGCTTCCCCCGCCGCTCCTCGGCTCAGATGTCCTTGGAGCCGCCGGGGGGGGGGAGGAGGGAGAGAGGAAAAGTCTGCCTTTTTAAATATATTTTGGGGGAAGAAAACAGCCAGACTGTTTCGCCCTCGTTTTCCTGTGAGGTGGGTGGGGGAGCCTCAATTCGAGTTTGGGCTCAATGTCGAACTTTCAGGGTTTGTGTGTGTGTGTGTTTTGGGGGGTGGCGAGGGGGGAGTCTGACATTCGAGGTAAGAAGAAGCAGCCGGGGCCCCCCCCCACAAAGGAAGAAGAACCCCGACCCCAAAGGGGGGGGTAACCCCACTGGGTGGCTTCCCGCTCCGAATTGGGGGGGGGTGCCCAATAACTAACAAACCAGGACCCGATCCTGAGTGGGAGATGGAGAAGGGAAATCGCAGGGTGGCTCGCAGCCCACCCCCCCCCTTTTTAACGTGGTGGGACTTTAGGGGTCCCCGAAAGCTTGGTGGCAGTGGGGGGGCTCCTGATTCGGATTTGGGGGGTGGCCAGGAGGGGGGCCCTTGGCAAAGGAGCAGAACCTGATCTTCAAGGTCGGTGGTGGCGGCGGCCAGAAAGAGGGATTCCGACCCCACCCCGACCGTTTTCTTCTCTCTCTCTGACCATTTTGAATTGGGGTGTGTGTGTGTGTGTGTTTTAAAGCACTGCCTCCCCCTTTAGAAGAGTCCCCCCCAGTATAGATGGGGCGGGGGGGGTACTAAGCAAGGGGTCCTGGTGTAGGAGGTGAGCACAACGTTGAAGGAGATTGATGTCAAGCCCCAGCCGCCATTGGAACTGCAGAGTTTTTTTCTTCTCCCCCCCATCTTTTGCAGCACCGATGGGGGGGGGAGCTTATGACACCCCCATCATTGAGGATGCTACTCCCCTGGTGGAGACCCAAAGATGTGAGTGTGGGTTTTCTATAAGTGCCTTACTAGATTGGACTCTGAAGGGCTGGCATCTTGAAAGACAGTATATTTTTTTTAGTTCCAGTGCAGTATTTTTGTATGGGGCAAAGCAAGGTGGAGATCTGCAGCAAATTGAGACAGCCCCCCCCCCCCAATATTTCAGAGAACGAAATGAAAGGTATACGGATTCCTTATGTGTCTGTCAAAGTCCTGAATACTTTAATGGGTGGTGATGGTTCCTCCTTGTAGCTGAAAGGGAGAAACAGTCATGTCTACTTTTCGTAAGAACAAAAGACGCCATTTCTGTCCGTCTCTCTCAGATATAAAAACTTGTTTTTTGAATGTAGGGTGTTGGCTTCTAAAGCAGTTACAGGGAAGTAGACTGCAGAAAAAAGTTGATAGAGCGCTTTAAAAAAACAATAATCTCTACAGATCAATTTTTGAGTGCATTTTAACAAGAAAGGGGATAATGTGATGTGTTTTGGGCTTCAGATTAATTGTGTGTGTCATGAATGTCTTCAAATATACAAACATTTTGTATATTCCAGTTAAACAATTGAATGCACTATATTAGAACAGGAATCCATGGTAAAAGAAAATCCTGTTTAAAACAATGAGGTGCGTTGACTTTAAAATAACTAGTTAGAAAAACTAATAGAGGGCGTTTTTAAAGTGTTACTATCAGTCTTTCATATGCTTGCATTTGGCATTTTAATCGTGAGGTAAATTTGGTATTCACATGTCTAAAAATGCCTTGAATTTGTAAGAAGACTTGTGATGAAATCTTTGGCACTTGCTTTTCCCCTTGGTTTGTTGAAGTTAGCAATTTGACATTCAGAGTATTTTTTCAGTTGCCCAGACTTTGCAAGGTATGTCTTTAACTGGCATTTTGAAGTGGAAGGTATATTCATATTTGTCCAGTAGCTTGATCTAACTAATTAGTCCAAGTTCTAAAATTTTAGTTTTCCTTCTGGGGTTAACATTTATGGTGTCTAGGACTTCAGTGACATGAGGAATGTACTGTTGAAGAAAGTTCTAGTATAGAACTGGTTCCTGCTATATTTTTAGCATGCAGCCAAATTTATTTTTCGAAGGCTTTGGACCTTATTGGTAGTGTAATCTGTTGAAACCAATACTGGTCTTGCAGAAAACACCACTGTAGAGTTAGTTATTTAAAATAATATTATTCTTATTGGCAGTAAATGAGCTTTAAAATGTTTTGAATATGCTCTTCAGTTTATTCTTAAACAGACAGTAATATTAATTTGGCTAAGGTCTATTGGGAATAAAGTTATCTGTAACCAACTTGTACTCTAGTGCAAGAAAATAGGACTGTAATCAATGTAAAACTACTTTACCTTCTGGTATGTGTGTAACTGGCTCTAATATTGGTTTTGAATTACATATCCATAGTGTGATACCTATGCAGTGTTTTCTCTAATGAGACTAAAACTAAGTTACGTTGATGAAAAATCTTTTAGTGTCTTCTGTGTTACTGGATACAATTTTTTTGAAAATGCTTAACTTAGAAATATAGTCAGCATTATCTTTATCTTACCAGTGCTTATTAAAGTACCTCACTTTGTAAATACTAAAGTACCTCACTTTGTAAATACTGAACAAAATAATTTTTTTATCTTATCTAATTTTCTTTTAGGTATTCACTGAATGTTTATCCCTGTGATAACTGATGGCGTTCAAACAATCTATAGAATCTATTTTCAATAGGTGAGAATAATTTCAAACTCATGTTAGTGTGTTGTTTGTCTTTAGTGTGTGGCTAACTTGTCATCCATTTTATACAGTTTTCCCAAATAAGAGGAACGCTTTACCTCCTGTTCAAACTAAATACAAACTGATTATTTGTAATTTACTCTATTGCTAAATACATTACATACATACATACATAGACCTTTATTGGCATAACACAGCAGCAAAGGAGAACAATGAAACAAATAGAAAATAAATAGCACGAAGTAATAGATTATAACAATTTACATCATGCTGCACCAACAAGGAATCGTTTTTATAAACTTCTCGGAAATAATAGCCTCAGTTGAGAATATAGCAATTCTAAAAAGTACAAAGGGGGTTAAAATATATTAAAGAAGCATACATTTAGATTATTTTAAGAAAACTAATGTCCTTATAAATATATTTTGGGGAAAAGCCCTATTGATTTCAGTGCAACATATTTCGGCATTAAATGACTTGTGTTGGAATTCTAAGCAGTTATATCCTTCTAAGCCCATTGACTTCAGTGGACTTTGAAGGGTGTAATTCTTCTTAAGATGGGTCACAATCTCAGGCAGCTATCATGAACATATTAAGTAAGCCTAAAGAAATGGGGAATTACTTCCAAAAACCCCTTTATGATCAGGACATAAGCTTAAAATGAATATGTGTCGGTATCAGGAAATAAGGAGGTAGGCAGACTTAAATTTGCAGTGTAACGTTTAGAAAGTTACATCATACTTACTTAAATGTCTACACACTGATTTGTGGGCTAGGGACTTGTCCATACTTTTGTAAATAGTGAGTGTTTCGCTACAAATGTTAACTGAATTTCTTGGGACTTAGATAATTAGTCTTAAATCTGTAACTGACATTAAGATGAATTAGAGTTCAAAATTGCAATTCACACCTTTTTTTTCTTAAGTGAAATATATTTTTTGAAACAAACCCATGTTTTCTTTTTAAAGATTGCTCGGGTTTCTGCTAGCTGGGCGTTCCATATGGTGTTAGAAGAGGAAATGCAGAATCCTGTAAACTGTTTCAGGTACGTTTTACTTCTGTTCGACTCCTTGGATACCACAGGTGCTGTTACTGTCCCCTTTGTCAGAGCCCATAAGCTTTTAATAGAATCTTAGTTTCCATTTATAATTGCAGAGGTCCTATTTCTGGTGCATTAATCTGAATGCTTTGCCAGCCCTTGATTTTATGTATTCTTTTAAGTAATTGAGTATGGGTGTGCCAATATCCTTTTAGCATTAGAAGTAAAAGTAGCTGAACAAAAAATAATGTTTGGTGTTCTGCGTTTGTACCCAATTGACTTTTATAGATTAGCTCCATACTCTCTACTCCAGGGTTTTAAAAAAGGGTGAATGTGGGAGGCTGAACCTGAAAGACGGGGACTTATCTAAGTCCAAGGCCACTTCAGCACTCCTTTTTGAACTAAGATGTTACAAAGAGACTCCCAGTTCATACCTTGTATTCTGAACCACTGTGCTGTCTCAGGTCTCTGATGGGCATCTTCAGAGATTTTTTCTGTTTACGTTTTCAGTTTACATATGCACATTGGAAGATCATCCTGATATTCCCTATTGTTGTATTTACTATGTTTTTTCTTGCCTAATTCAAGACTGTAAATGAAGAGTTCGGATGTGTCATCTTAATATGTTACACAGTATGAATCTCTTAAATGGAACAGGTGTTCTTCACATGGAATGCAGGATTTGGATCCCAAGTCTTAAATAGATTCTAAATCAGCAAACCTCTGTTTACAATTTAGCAACCTGATGAAAACTATCAGTGTTTGATTGAACCCATAGCAAGAAGCGGTATTTCTTTGCACAGAAATAACTTTGCCAATAGTAGGTTAGAATTTACCAGCACCTGGTTTTAAATACACATTATCACTTAATGTAAGTAAAGTTAATTTGGTCTTCACTTATGTCAAAAATGTTTGTCAATGTACAACACATCTTTTATACACTATGAATGCTTGAGATAATTCATCTAACTTGCAGCATTGTCAAGTAAATGATTTGACAGTATGATAACTTGTTAAATATATGAAGCTAATGAAAGACACCATTTAATAAAGTGGAGTTTAAGAACTGAGGCCCACTGGTAGAAATCTAGGTTACTGCTTTGGGAATATGTCTGCCCAATACATGGCTTCAGAACTAAGTCATAAGTACATTTGCTCAGAAGTAAATCTTCATGTTCACTAGAGAAGAACAAGAGTCCAGTAGCACCTTAAAGACTAACAAAATTTGTGGCAGGATGTAAGCTTTTGTAAGTCACTGCTCACTTCTTCAGATACCATCAGAAGTGAGCAGTGACTCACGAAAGTTCATACCCTGCCACAAGTTTTGTTAAGTCTTCAAGGTGCTACTGGACTGTGGCTCTTTTCTGCTGCTACAGACAGACTTAACACAGCTATTCATCTTGAACTATCTTCAAGTTCACTGAAATCCTATGGTAAACCTCTTATGACTAGTGGCTTTGGAAGGGGTGTAATTCTCTGTAGGATTGCACTGTTTTACTTCCTAGTTAATCTAAGATTATGGTATGATAGGGTATGAGTACCATTGGCTGTTACTCTTACAAATTTAAGTTAAGTGGTTCTGCTAGTTGAGGTGGGAATTGCATGTTTTTTCCTTGCTCTAAAATGGTCAAACTGTTCCATTTTAAAAATGTGGCTTGTGTTTCCTGCACCATTTCTACTGAGTATTATAGTAGGTTGTAGGAAAGTGCATTGTTAAAGTGTGGGCGAGAAATATTGTACAAGACTGGATGGATTGGATTTGTGCTGAGTTGGAATTATGGAAATTGCAGAAAACTTTAGTGTTTGAACAAATCCCTTTATAATTGTAGATCAGTACAGGATTCTCGATTCCCACCTGACAAATCCTTGAAAAACACCTGGATTTAGTAACCTGTCCATAGTGTAAAGTGCTGTTATGTGTAATTTAGCAATTAAATAGCATCCGGGAATTTAGGTGAGGAGGAAATTATTAGTTTATGAAATCAAACATTGTGCTTATGTCAGTGGGACGTCTGGTAATCTGTTTGGAATCAGCAAAATTTGTGTTTTATTTCTGCATAGAATGCCTTAATTTACCTAGGCATGTGGTATTGGTACCCTGTTTTAGTAATAATACCACCTTCTCCAGAATGGTAACAACAAAATCTTAGAGCCGGGAGCCTCCTTTTTGGAAATGTCCTGCTTTCACATGCATGTGGCCATAACCTCTTAGTGAGGTTAAAAAGATCATACTATAATGTATTTAGCGTAACATTCTGATGTTCTCTTTATTTACTAATTCAGTCTCTACTCATGAAGAGTAAAATATTTGAGTTCTAAATGCAATCACTTTAATGTGTCAACCAAAGTTGCAGTTCTGTGTGTTTACCTGCAAGTCCCATGAAAATTCCTTCCTGAACATCCTTCGGGAACAGCGTGCTCTGAAATATGAGTGTGTCATGTTTGAATGTAGATTGCAGTGGAACCCCACCTGTTCAGCAAGCCCAGTGTTTATTTTGGCATGTTGCTGAATTATATATTAGCTGACTCTTGGCAACATATAGAATCTGGAAGTAATAGATATGCTAATGTGTGCATTGCTTTGAGAATTGTATGTGGGGAAAGAAATTTAGGTTTTAACAATACTACAGTATGCTGGACACAGATGACACTGTCTCAGTCATTGGTTAAGCGTATCCAGTATATGCATATTTGAAATAATATTACCAGACTATGTTGTTTAACAGGAATCCTATTTTTAAAAATGAGGTTAGGACCTATATACTTTTAAAGTCATGAACAAGTTTTTTTTTTACTAGTTTCCTAATCTACAGTTGTATTTGGTTAAAACGATTGGCCTGTTGGAAGATTGCGTTGAGGGGTAGACAATGATTCACTTTTGTGGAAACATTGTTTAGGGCAGGGGTCCCCAACCTTTTTGAGCCTGTGAGCACCTTTGGAATTCTGACATGGTGTGTGGAGGGTGCAGCCACAGAATGGCCGCCGCAGGAGATAGAAGCAGCCTCGAAATGATTGCCACAGCTCAACTTCAGACACAACAGTGAAGATCCTTGATCTGTGACGGCAGCTGTTGCCAAACCACCACTCTTAAAATATACACAGTGAATCAAATCTTCCGTAGATAACCAGAAGCCTCGCTGGGCAAAAGCTGTACCTGGCCCTGCCCACTTCTAAAAACAGTTGGTTGGTGTCAGCAAAGGTGTGGGTGGGCACCTTGTTGGGGACCCCGATTTAGGAATTAGGTTAAGTAGTTAGAGGTTTAACTTTCATTCCTGAGTTGAGTGGGAATTGCAGGACAAGCCACATCTTCACAAATTAGCATTTGAACAGGCTATTTGAAGTACATTTTTAAACGGGCTCTTTTGGCAAGCTATTTGATGACAAACACTAATTCATCTGCAGTTGTCCTTTCCTATACAGCAAAGCACATTTGTTTTTAAGAAGAGGGTGATTAAAAATGGAAGCAGTATCAGTATAAGGGCACTTGCTCTCAGCACTCTAATGCTGCATCAAGAGTAGTGATGGTTCTAATGATTGACTTCCAGAAAAATGAGGGCTTGAAATATTCTCCTGATAGTCAAGGACATTTGTAACTGAAGTTACGTTCCAAGTCCTAGATTACCATGCTCATTCAGTTATAAACTGATAGTGTCAGAGAATGTTGGGTTATGTTTTCTGAATATATTCTACTTGGGTCATAATACAGATGACAATGTGATATCAAATTTAGGATGCAGTCATGAATGTAACTAAATCAAGGTTGTTGAAAACATCAGCTTTGAGTCAGCAGTATTGAGCATGACTGTCCTGGTGGTGAATATAAGTTGACTCATTGAATAGTGTATTAAACTTTTCCTACAGATAAAATCGATGGATTGAGCGTATGAAATTCCTGAGGCTGGCTGAAGCACTGGTAAGTTGCTGTCTTAGTATGTTTGCATGTGACTTGTGTGTTTCTATAAATGTATGTGTTGCAGGTTTTTTTATTGACCAAGTCTCCCGAAAGTAAAAAATGATGTAGATTAAATTAAAATATTTGCAATTAGCCATTCATTCATGATAATTCCAGCAGAATTAAATCGCAAAGCTTTACTTGGATTAAAGTACTCCAGGCTGCAGTTAGGAAAATCACATGTGTGAATACTGAAGTTTTTTGTTCATATACAGTATATAGCTTGTTAGAGAGAAGGGCTCAACCAGGTCTCTTCTTGGTTCTAGTTTCATATATGCAGGAAAGTTTAGTATGGGGAGCATTCATACATGTGATTTCTCCCAGTTGTAGCCTGGGAAGAACTTGGTTCGCTCGGTTCTGCTGACATGTATAAACCAAGAGCTTTTTAGTAGTTCAGGTACGTGTTAATTTAACACATAGGTTGTAATCCAGTTCCTACTTAATAGGAATGCTAAAGTTGTTGATGATGAGACGTCTGTCCAAAATTATTCAGGATTGAGTAGCTAAATTAATTAGCATCATCAACCAGCCTGCTGTCTCAGGGTACAGGAAGCAGGTATTAATATAGGACTCCACAAATTTTCTTTGGCTCTAAAAGCCAGGCCAGCTGTAACCAGGGTTTCATATTTTAATGGCTAAACTTCTTAGTTATTTCTGTCATAAAAACAGATCCTAACCTATGCACCGAAGTGTCGTAGTATATAAATATGTGTGTGATTGTGGTTGTCATCACCACAAAGAGCTAACCTCTACCCGAGCCGAACTTCTCTTCAATTTTTCATAATTCCATCATTGCTTTAAAAAGGTTGATTTTATTGAATGTTAGCACCTGTGTAGAAAGCAACTGGTTAAGAATGGAATTCACTCACCACCACTGAATAGTGTAAAGTTAAGTTTGTGTTTAAATGATCAAGGACAAGAACTTCATACACTTATGTCATACAACAAAATGTTCTGATGTGAAATGACAAGCTTTGGGTTTAATCCAGCCAGCGTTTTTGCTTGATCTTAGCCAAATCCTCAAGTTATTACGGGCCCCATTCCAAATTGTTTTTGTCTGTATGGGTCCTGTGGTCCCAAACAGCCTTTTTAGTGGTTAGAGGGGGCACCTTCCTCCCTTGGTTTACCATTGGAAAAACTGATTGAATTCAACCCTGTGTAATTCTGCTGAGAATTGCTGAGACACACTACAATGGACTCTTGATTGAAAATGCTATGCACCACAATGACATTTCTAGGTGACATAGGGCTTGCTGTATGGGATTTGTCAAGCTCTACATTAATATTGTTTAAGATGTATGGAGTCCAGAGTTCTCAAAGTATGATCTCTTTAAAAAAATGTCTAGAGTTCTGTTTGTACCTTTTTGTGAGTGACAGATGTAAACATTTCATGGCGACTGGTATGCCAAGGTCACTTTAAAAGACTTGGTGATGTGCTAAAAGAAAGGTAGGCATGCTGTTAATGAGTATATAAAGTTCATGCTTTGCTTCCTTTATCGTTTCCTCTGGTCTAAGGTTTGTATTTTTAAAATATGCTACTGTTCTAGGGTATTAACAGTTTTCAATTTTTTTGAAGGTACACTGTTACACACATCTGTTGAAGGTACACTGTTACATTTTTTCGAATGAACTTGATTCTACTTCTAAATATTGGGCTTATGGTGGCAGAACACAAGGAACACTTTAAATAGCATGGCATAGGGCTTGCCTCTTATGGCCATTCGTCCACATGGACAGATCACTCCCAAGGAGAAGCCTAGTGCTTTCATGACTGCCTGAAGCCCATAGGTAGATCAGTTTGTTCCTAGGCTCCTTCGAGTTGCACTAAACAGCTCACTAACTGGTGTGATTTTTAAAATAGTTTCTGCACAGAAGCCCTTGATGGTGTCTGTCTTAATGGCAGCATTCGGGCTTTTTTCATTTCTTTCTAAGCCTATCCTATATGGCAAGGCATTTATTAAAGCTCTCCCTTCCTTCCATGCTTCATAGACCCCAATTCCAGCATCTATAATCTTTTTTGTTATGAGGATAATGTTGGTGTTTAGTATGTTACTGTTTTTAATGTGTTTATTTTAATGATTCATTGACTTCAGCAAAGTAAAGTTGCTCAACAGAAGTTACAGGTTCAAAGCGTAAAATGCTTTCTGATTTGAATGCTCTTATATGCTATCATAAAGGCCTTTTATGTTACCAAACTGGACACAGAACCATGACCTTGGTCCAGAAAAGAAGAAATCCTATGACAACGGAAATAACTCATTCATTGTGTCACAATAAAACCTTTCCGTTTTTAAGGTGCCACAAGACTCCTTTTTGTTCTTGCTGCACCAGTCTAATATTGTTTCCCCTCTGAACCTTTTGTCCAGTTCTGGTTGCTATGAAATAAGAATGCCATGTTCCAGCAGTATTCTTTCTAGACCCAGCAGGTATCAAACTTGCTACCCTAAAGAACATCCTTTGTACATTGCGTCTGCTGAGAAATCCCTGTGAGCTCCAGTGGACTTTAGGACATGTTCTTGGGGTACAGCTCACATGCTGCACTGGCCAGGCCTACAGGGTTTCATAATTGCCTAGATTAACTAAAAGCATGTCATAGAACATGCCTTGTGCTTTCCTGTGACCAGTAGGGTTAGCTCTAGAGAGCTGTCTGCTAGAGAAAATCTGTGGTTAACTGCTCTTAAGAGAGAACCCCAGCTTTTAAGAAATGTAGGGTTTCCTACAACAGCATTTGAAAACATAGCTCTAAGTCATCCTTTCCCTTTATTTATTTAGAATATTTATATGCCACCTCTTCATAGCCCTGCTTGAGGTGGCTTTTATTGCTTATGCTCTCCCTTTAACTGTTCTTACTTTGTCGGCTTATGGATCGTCCTGCTTCTAACCAGCACAAAAACTCTACATGTGCATCTCTTCTTGGGACTCTACATACGTGTGTGCTCTGTATAATAGCCTTCTCTTTTCTGTCCATGCTCTATATTTAAGTCGGTCTGACAGCAGCATTTGGTAATATCTCGTGTTAATTACTGTAGCATTAGTGCCAGGGATAGGAATTGAAACTGAACCTTAAATTTCCCTCAAAGAAAATTGCAAATTTCTTGAAAGGTACTAATCAAGCTGCTTACAGCTTAGAGTCATCAGCCTTCTAATAGGAATCAAAGCGCTGTAGCTTATTGTGGAAAACTGAATACGCTAGTTAGCTTCCTGAAATTGTGTGATCACCTGCCGTTTTCCTCAAATGATCCACTAAAATGCCGCTCAGTTTGTTTCCCAACCCTTGCTTTCGGTTAATTGAGTAGTGCAGGGGTCACCAATGTGATACCCATGAGCTCTGCGACGCCCACCAGCACCTTTCCTGGTGCCTGCCAAAGTTTTTCAGGAAATGGGTGGGGCCAGATGGGGCTGTTGCCCAGCATGGCTTCCTGATTGGCCACTGAAGATCAGATGGGCTGGTGCAGCTTAAAACAACATTGCTTCGCCAGCAACCGCCCCCACAGTGTTGGTTTTCTGTCTTTCGCTCTTTCCTAGTGTAGTGTTTAAATTACCCCTCTTCTTCCCTGCACTTTACTCTGGGTGTGTACATGGCTCTGCCTCTGGCAGCACCCATGTTGTCACAGTGCCCGCCATGCTGTGTGAGAATTCTAAATGTGCCCACAGGCTCAAAAAGGTTGGGGACCCCTGGTATAGCACATTGTTAAATGGACCTCAGTTGAAGAACTTTCCTCTAGGTAGCATTCTTTTGAGAGAAGAGTACTGAATTATAAAGTGTGGGACAAATATATAAAAAAATCTGAGTACCCATATATTTCTGAAGTTCAGAGTTTTCCTTCTCTGGGAACTCATTTTGTATTCAAAACGAGAGCTGCCCTCTGTTCTTAAGCACAACTCATGGGGATAAGTAAAAATGAACAAAGGTCTCTTAGAGAGGCTCTGAAGTACTTTACCCCTCTGCTTCTTGTAATGGAACTAATTGAGCCACAGCAAGGTCTCTGAAAAGAGCCTGCATCTATTTCTACAGATTTTCTATGTTATAAGTTACATGTTCTTCTGTAGCATTCCTTTTGATAGTTCCATGTTGGGGAACTGACTGCTACCTGTTTGTTCCTTTTTGTTTTCCCCATAAAGTGATGCGTATGTTCAGTGCTTCATTTTATTTATGTAGG